GTCTCTCCCCGTCACGCTCTCGGTAAACGGAGCTGGACGTTTGGGAGAGAACGATCCTGTTGGCTGGGGATGGGGCTGGAAACTGGCTAAAGAGAGGGCTGGGGGAGGCAGGGGGAGGTCCAGATTGTGCAAAAAATGGGATTGAAGTTTGCTCCTGAGCAAGGAACGGGCCTCACTCCTCTTGGATCTGCTGGTGGCTCCGGCCGGGCAAAGGGAAGGGCTGACGGATGGAGCTGGAGCACCCATTTCTGCTCTGCTGCCTGCACCCTTGGGTGGCTTTGGGCAGCTCTGGGGTTTCTAAACTGAGGACAAGTGGTCCTTAGACCTCCCTTAGGTGCTCTTTTCCTGCGTGTTTTGAGCCTGGAAGCCCTCAGAGGGTTTTTCCTTAGATCTGAGAGGACGTCAAGGCTGCAGACGTCAGCCTCCCTGCTGGGAGAAGGGACGTGGAGCTCCCGGAGCCGGGAGCCTTCGGGTCTGGTGCGTGTTTCCCCGGGAGCAGGAGGAGCCTGGGGGATTTGGCGTGGAGATGGCGGCTTACGAAACTCCCCAGATGCTGCCTTTGTCGTGAGCTTACCTCCTCCCTGCCTGCTCCTGAACTCCAGGAAGGTGAAGAAGAGCAGGGACAGGTCAGCTCAGGGCTCTGGAGGTTTGACTCAGACCTTTCCCCCTTCTACAAGATCCTAAAGAATCCTAAAATTGGGCACCCCGCGCCTTTTGCTTCACTCTGTCCTTCAGCAGGGACGGTCTGTCCTCCCCCATTGGATGTTTTCTCTCTCTCTGACGTCTCATCCTTGAGATTCTTGGGGTGTTTTGGAGCCCCACGGTGTCCTTGGGGTGCCCTGCTCTTACCAATGGGGATTCTCACTCCCTTTTCCCTGCGAGCAGCGCCGGGATGGCAGAGAAAAAGGGGGGCTGCACTGGGGGGGCAAGGCAAGGCAGGGACCCCTCCATCTCCCACCACCTGCAGAGCCACCACTGGCTGCCGTGGGACCACCCCCAACTCCCAGAGGGGTTTGGTGCTGGGTTATTTTTCTTTATTTCTCATTTCTTTCCCTCCCCTCCCGCTGCAGCCGTCCCCGCTGAGCCCTGACCTCATGATGTCATGTTGGGAGTAAGGACGTGTCACTGGTTCTTGTTTAACCACCTCCCTTGCCATCATTTTCCCCCTCTCCCACACAGGAGACCCGATACCACTCTGTCCCTTCCCCCCCAGTATTTTTTCCCCCTTTTTCTCCTCCTCTGCTCCATCCAGAAGCTCCTTCCCATCAGGTCAGTACAGGGATTCGGGTCCCTGGCGCAGCGGCCGCCTCTCCGGAAGCGCAGCGGGGACGGCGTTTGCCGGCTGTGCCGCCAAAGGTTTTGCTGAATAAGCAAATTCTCAGGAGATGAGGAGGCAGAGAGAGAAAGGGGGGGGGTTGGCAAGGGGCTGGGGGGGTTTGGACCATGACGGAGCAAGTGGATGCGAGTGGGAGCAGGGACGTGTCACCGGGGGACCTCAGGGGTCCCTCGAGGTGTGGATGCTGCAGGGGAAGGGGAGGAAGAGCATTTGTGGTGATGGGGGAGCGTGGGATGAGCGTGGGGGGACGGGCACGAGCAGGGCACAGACACCCCGTGAGGGCTGGGGATGTGGGGGTGCCCGTGGGGCTGTTCCCCAAATTTCTTTGCTGCCCTTAATGCTTCTCCTCTGCCTGTTCCCTCCATCCCAAAAAGGAGGAGTGAGTATTTCCTCCATGACAAGCGAGAGAAGAGGGGGTGTGGGGGGGTTAATTCCATGTCCGTGCGTCCACGGATTTTAATTTTGGATCCACGGACGTGGAATTAAATAAAGAGTTTTAACGTGCGAGAGCCGTTCTTAACGTTAACCCTTGTTTCTCTTCTGGCCTGTGTTATCTCTCCCCAAGCCTGGCTGAGTCCCTCCTGCCTTTTACATTAGCGAAACTAATTATAGTTCTGGAAAGTAACGAGGGGCGGCTAACGAGCCTTGGAGCTGGAGGATGTGTCTGGCACCGCGTTAGATACCAGAAGGTGGTTCCCAGAGCAGCCGGCCTGGGGGGGCCTACGCAGGAGCTGAGGAAGAGGAGAGGGGAAGGATGGGAAGGACGTAGCCCCAGCAGGTAGGGGGTTTGGTGGGTGGGCTCCGAGTCAGGGCTGATGTGGTGGGAGATGCTCCAGCTCCGTCGGTGTCGCCTTCACATCACCCCGTGCTTCGGGTTCCTCACGTGTAATGGGGAGCAGGGGCTAAAACCCAGCTTCGTCAAGAGCCTGAGCTCGTTAGGATGTTCCCTGTGCGCCACATCTCTTAGGGGGAAATGCTGGATGGGGATGGAGAGGAAAACAAAGTCCTCTTGCAGGTTCAGCATCCGTGTTGGGTGGGGTTGGCAGGAGCACAGCCCGTGTGTTGGGAGCGAGCGATCCTCCCGGGTGATTCCTGTGTAGCTCCCTCTCAGCAAATAATATCTCTTCAATCCTTTCACCTCAAAATCTTACTTTTTGGCCTCAGTTTGGGCAGTAGAATGACACTGTGCTGTGTCGCTTGAAAGACATCAAGTTGGTCACAGCTTCTCGTTGAGGGAAAGAGCTCTGTGGGGCTGCTCTCTCCTTTTTGGGGACACCCTGGTTGGGACAGGGCACTGCGAGCTGCCGCCGCCAGAAACTTCACCTGAGCCATCCAAACCATTGGAAGTGGTTTGCTGCTACAAGAGCACGGCTGCTCCTACCAGCTTGTGCAAAACTTGTCAAAGCTACGCTTCTAGCCCCAAAACGAAGGAAAAGCCTGGTGTTTATCTCATGTGGTCTCTCGACCACGAAATCTGGGCACTGGCTCTGCGGTGCGTGGGGGCTCTGCTGTGTCTGAGGAGGGGAAGGGCAAGGCAGGGTCATCCTTCTTCTGTGCCACCCATCCCATCCCATCCCATCCCATCCCCATCCCCATCCCCATCCCCATCCCTCCCCAGCACCAGCTGCATCCTCCATGAGCTCGGGGGCAGCAGGAGGTGCCCTGGAGAGGAGGGAAGGGGAACAGATGCCTGTTGGTTGGATACACAACCCAGAGCTGGGCTCCCGGGGGCTTTTCTTCCCTCCTCTCCACCAGTTGCCAGTGACAGGGGCTGGGGAGGATTTGGAGGGTGAAGGGGGGGCTCTGAAATGGAGAAAAGCCGCGCCAGGTGCGGCGAGTTTGTCGCTGGGGGAATTTTTCCCCCTTGTCCTCCCCCCCTCTGAAGATTGTATAACACCCAGCGCTCGTTAGGCTCATTAAAAACAGTTGTTCTCACCGGTGACGTCTCCTCTGCACAAAGGCTGGGGGGCTTTTTAGCAGGGGATCAGTTGGAAAACAAGTCTCCGGGAGTGAGCGGCGAGGGCAGCGATCCGCCGGGGCTCCCTGCCACCCAGGTGAACCTTCTCCTCCTTATTCTGATCTTGGTTATTTTGCAGATTTGGTGGGGTTTTTTTTGTTTTTTTATTTTCTGCAGGGAGGCCCCGGGGAGGCCACGGGCTGGAGGCCTGGGAGCAGCAGCTCGGGGACAGGCTTTGTCAAAGGTTTCCTCTGTGCCTCGGAAGCTAATCCCGCCTGTCACGTGGTGCCGGGAGAAGCAGCCGTTCCCGTTGGCCTCGGACGCGGCGGCCGCAGGCAGGGCCCCCCCACAGCCCCCCCACACCCCGGGGTGACGGAGGGGGGGGGCTCGACCCAGCTTAACTTTGGGCCCCGAGTCGCCTTTTGGAGGGTAATTTTTCTTGTTGTTGTTTTGGTGCAAACTCGCCGGCGGGCAGCAGGTCCCCCGTCAGGGTCAGGGAGGGAAACAGGAAAAGCAGCTTTTTTAAAAATAGCAAGCCCTTGAAATAGTCCCAGCGTTTTGGGGCTTTTTTGTCTGAACCGCTCCGGTCGCTCCGGAGCCCAGGCTCGGTGGTCCGGGGTTGGGGGGCAGGGGGGGACTCGGTGTTTCTGCTGGTCCCGTGCCAAATCCATGGCGTGGGAAGCCCTCGGGGAGCCCCTGGGGAACCCGGGGCTGGGGGGCATTTGGGAGCCCCTTCCCTGCGAGGGCTGGCACAGGCTCCCACAGGGAAGAGGGTCTGAGAGCCAGGGGGAGCATTTTAAGGGGTTTTTTAGCCCAAGTGTGTGTGTGAGCAGCGCAGGAACACGGTGTGGGGATGGACTTGCCTCTGGTTTGGCCCACGGAGGAGGACGTGGGAAAATCCATGGCGTGGGAAGCCCTCGGGGAGCCCCTGGGGAACCCGGGGCTGGGGGGCATTTGGGAGCCCCTTCCCTGCGAGGGCTGGCACAGGCTCCCACAGGGAAGAGGGTCTGAGAGCCAGGGGGAGCATTTTAAGGGGTTTTTTAGCCCAAGTGTGTGTGTGAGCAGCGCAGGAACACGGTGTGGGGATGGACTTGCCTCTGGTTTGGCCCACGGAGGAGGACGTGGGATGGCGATGGGTGAGCGGTCGCTTGAGCTGGTGCTGGCAGGTTTTGGGGGGGTTTCAGCAGGATTTGGGGGAAGGAGAGCGGTGTCAGCTCCACACGTGCTGTGGCCAACTTTGGGTGGGCGTCTGAAGCCGTGAGCTGGGCAAATAACGGGCAGATAGTCAACAAATAAACTTCTCTTTCAAGGGAGGTTTGGCCGGAGAGGAGCTTTTTAACAACATTTTATCTTTTAGTGGTAGACTAAATAAGCAAATGAGCCATAAAAATACCAGGGGTGTTTCAGCAGTTACTCCTTGTCTTACTATTTCAGCTGTGAGCCTTGTTAGCTTCTGGGGGGGGCTCGTGGTGGTTCCCCTCAACCGGACCAAGTCAGGGCTGTGTCTTGGTGGCGCTCGATGGAGCTGGGGCCGGTGTCAGCCCCGGGTGGGAATTTCTGCCTCGTTAATTGGTGATGAGCTCACTCTGGGAGGGGGATCATCTGGTGGGAAACCCCTGGGCTCCTGCCCTGCCGGCTCTGGCGGGGAGATGCTTAGGTTGCCCCGAAACGGTGAATCTCCTCTTCCTTGTGGCTGTTCTCCCAAGGCTGGTGGGGTTTTGTTGTCTTTGCTGTGCCATGGAGGACCTGCCTCTCTCCTGGCCTCCTGCTCTTCCGACGGGCAGGAACCCTGGTTACCAGCAGAACTGCTTCCTCTTCCTGCTGGGGACCAGCTCCAGCCCGTCCCCGCCGCCTCTGGGCCGGACCCCGCTCCATCCCAGGTACCTGAGCTTGTTTAATGAGCGTGTTGGCTGCCAACCCTGGTCCCTGCACCCAGTTTCTGTCCCCAGACAGCGGTGACACCACTGTCCAGGGCAGAGCAGTGAGATCCATGTCCTCCCAGAGCCTGGGCGGCCGCGCTGGACGCCGGGGATGGGTTTGTGAGCAGCAGACCGAGATGAAACCATCTCCTTCGGCCTGAAACTGAAAGCCTGGTGATTATTGGTGTGCTTGGGGTTTGTGTGTGTACGTTCCTGATGCAAATAAGGGGCTGTGGCTGCCCTGCTTCCCAGCTCTAGCCCCGTCTCTCCAGCTTTGTGCTTTTGCTGGAGGAAAGGCTGGTTTTAGCGCAGCGTTGATGGTTTCAGTTCAAAACCCCGTGTGGCCTTGGGGACACTTGTAGGGAGGTGACATCTGGCATTCCTGACCTCGGGAGTCACCTACTGAAAGGCTACAGCTCGCGGGCACGGGGCGGCTGGGGCGGCAGCGTGGTTGGGGTAGAAAAGGGGTGGAAAGGGGACATGGTAACTGTGTGGTTTTGGACTTGGCAGCTTCCTGGGGTTTGGGTTGCCCAGCTCGGCCTCCTGGCTGGTCCTGGGTCGTGTCCTGCTTCCGAGAGCCCCGTGGCTCAGTCGTCATGTCCTCACCCCAGCGGGGTGGCTGGCAGTGCACGGCCCTGCCTTGTGTGTTCACGGTTCATCAGGGCAACCATCTCCATGGGGTGTGTTTCGGGGTGACCCCGTGTCCCTTTTGTGCTTTGCTGTGGTTTTGGTGCTGGGCAGGACCTCGGAGCGGGGATTTTCACAGGGGGAGTCTCCTGGCCTCTAATTCAGAGATGAGGCTGCAATGCTCAGGGCTGGCTGGCAAACGAGTTTGGCAACCTTCTCCTCCCCAGCTCTTCCCCCTCAAATCTGGAGAGGATTTGGGGGGTCTTTTCCACAAATGGAGAAGATCTGACTCTTTCTCTCCCCCCGTGCTGTGGTTTCCCAACCTGTGGAGCAGCTCCCACACTGATGGGTGGTTGGGGGGCAACCTGCATGAGGGGGGGGCTAGTGCCCGGTGGGGCTCTGTTGCCCCCGTCAGAAGCTGTTTCCAGGTGAAGCTGGTGCTTGTTGTAAACTCTTTTATTTTCCTGTGAGGCAAGCGAGCTACCCGCGCTGAGCCAGTCAGGTTAAAAATACCCATCCCTTCCCCCCTCCTTGGCTTTGTTTCACCTCAGCAAAATAGTTCTTTTGCCTAAGAAAATAGTTGTGTTTTGAGCTACCAAAATAACTCCCAGTGGAGCCCGAGGTGGAGCTGGGCCCTTCCGTCCCTGCTCCCTCCTTCTGATACCAGTTACTGCCTCGGGACCATGATTCTCCTTCCAACAGAAGGGGCTGAATTGGGGGATCTCGGGACTTCTAAGATTAGGATTTTAGGATTTCTAAGAACAACAACAACAACAAAAAACCCCTTCTGGGGCGGAGGCCTTCCTGTTAACACCAAACAAGGAGAAATCCTGGGGGCAGCTGTAGGGAGGAGCCTCCTTTGGTGGGGAGCCACCAGCTGAGGAGCATCTCTGAGAGCGTGGAAGCGATGGACGGTTCGTACGTGACTTCATTCCTGCCTGGAAGTTTTGAAAAAAAGAGGCAGAGGATCCGTAATCAGTTTTGCTTTTAAAAGCAGGGATGCTGAAAGCATGGCTGGCCAAGGCAGAGGCAGGGTGTTTGAAGGCAACCAAGGCACAAAAACCTTTTAGTGAGGGTCTGGGAAGGAAAGAATCGAGGGGTACAGTTGAAGATCAGTGGGATATGTTTAAAATCCACCTGTGAGCTCAGAGAAATCAGGTGCTGTGGGTTCCTTCTTTCCTCTCCCTGTCAGGGAGCCTGATAAACATGAAGTGGGGGTCGCCGGGCTCTGCATCCCCACGGAGGTCCACCCTCCCACCAACGTGTGTCCCATCCAGCAGAGAAGCTCTTCTGGGCAGCTTTGTGTTTTCAGCCCCGTCTGGTTTTGCTCAGGGAGGGGGATTTATGCCTTGCAGGAGGGTGCAGCAAGGCTGGCTCCTCTGCCTGGCTTCTGAGCCATCTCCCAGCACGGGGAAAAGCGCTGTGGAGCCTGAAGATGGATCCATCATCATCCCTCGGGGCTCTGCTGAGGCTGCTGACCCGAGCCCTGCCAGGACAGAGCTGGCAGCGTTTCCCTCCGCGCTGGATCGAGGAGAATTTCCCTCACGTCTCTCCTGGTTTCTTCTTGGGCATCTTTTCCAGCAACCTGCTCCTCTCTCTCTGCTTTACTGTAAATATTTGTATCCTGCTAAACGGCGATTAGGGAAAAGTCGTTTGAAAAACAAATGTCCTCGTGTCACGCCGTTCTCAGGCAGAGCTCCTGTGCCCAGGAACCAGATGGCAGGGCTGGAAGAGGAGCGTGGCGTTCGTGCTTTAAAGCCTGGTGCTTTTCCTTCTGCTCCTCTCACCCCCGCCTCCCCTCCGCCCAGGGCTGAAGCCCTGCCTTGCCTGGAGGAGCACGTGGGGAAAACTGCTTTGAGAAAGCTAATTTCTCTTTTTTTGGGATCTGGATTATCAGCCCTTCTTATAGGGACAGGCTCTGTCCCTCTAAACCCAGGTGCATTTTGACTCATCCCGAAGAGGAACAGGATATTTGGTTAAAAACCCCACGTGTTTATGGAGAGAGAAAGCAGCACATCCCACTCGTGCTCTCTGAGACCTTATTCCTGTGTATTTAACCTCACAAAGATGGTTTTGCTGTCACTAACCGGACCCCCCCGGCCTGGCTGGTGAGATTTGGGCCGAGCATCCTGGGTGTCCCCGGGGGTGATGCTCTGCTCTCAGGGGATCATCCTGGGCTCTGCCATTTGCCTCGGTGGTTCCCCATCCCGTGGGGTGGATGCCTTCCTCCAAGATTGCCCTTTTCTTGTCTCCCAGTGGCTTGTTCCGGTGTCGAATCCTTCATGCTCTTGCAGGCTAGAAATACTCCTCCTGCCCACGGAGCTGCCTCTTCTCTCCCCTCTTCCCCTTTGGCTTTAGTAGAGATTTAAGACCCAGAGAGGGCTTGTCCTGAGTTATCACAGGATCCCTGGGTCGGGGGACGGGGCTCCCTGGCCCCGGCAGAACCGACGCCAGTAGAAAATTGCCCATTTTTATTTAAAATATCAGCGTCGTCCTGGAGCAGCAGATCCCTTGGTGGCCCACAGACCCCGCGCTGCACCCGCCAGAGATCCCCTTGGGGTGACCTACGGCGAGAGTTAAAAATAAAGCTCCACTAAGCCTCCTCGCTAAGCTGTCTGTCGGGAAAGCCACCGGGGCCTTTGCAGCCCTGCTGAGCCTGAGAATAGCTGAATTGGGTGGACGAGGGGGGTTGCCAGGCACAGAAAAAAGCCCAAACCACGTGTGAGAGCGGTGCAGGGCTGTTTCTGGGCCCCGTTTGGCCTCCGACGCTGCTTTCTCACCAGGGTTGGAGAGGGTGAAGGCTGGTCGAGAGACTACCAGCGGCATGAGGTAGTTGGTGGCTTTTGCTCCGGCCACCAGTGGGGCTGTGATGGCTGCTGCTCGCCCCCAGGGATGCCCAGGCAAAGGGAGAACCAGTCTGTGTCCATCCCTGGTCAATGGGAGAGCTGGGAACCAGCTTCGTTAGCGTAACTGCCTTCTTGGCCGGCGCCAAGAATCCCTTCCTCCCTCCTTCCATGCTTCCCTCCCTCCTTCCCTTCCTCCATCACTCCCACTCCTCACAAATAAGTGGACAGGACTCGAGGAGATCATTAAATCTATATTAAAGGAATATCTATCGCAGCAGCACGTTTGCAGGGACTCTGGACCCTTCCCTTCCGCAGCAACCATTAGGAGATGGCTGCTGCCACCTGAAGAGGTGACAGATGAAGGTGCCTGCGACGTGCCGCTGCCGGGAGGATGCTCAGGCTAATCTGTTGAGACAAACGCTGCGGGTTCCCTTCCTGTGGGTGGTTTGGCAGATTTCAGAGCCCTGACTTGTTTCTGGCATAAATTGTGGCAAGACCGAGGGCTTCCAGCCCTGGGCTATGGAGCTGTTGGCCCCCGGCTGCCAACCACACGGGCTGAGCTTCTCACAGCCCCTGAGAGAAAGGTTTCTCTTCTTTCTTTTTGGCTTTTGCTGACGTGAGGAATAACCATCCACCTGCCACAGAGCAGAAAACTCGAGACCTCCCCCCTCATCCCCTCCCGGCAGATCTGCTCCCCCTGGACAGACACGTGTCCAGCTGCTCTCCAGCACGTGGGGCGTCCCCCGTTCTCCTGCCTGGCAGGATCCTTACAAATCAGAGTCTTTCCTGCTGGCTGAGCCACATCCCCTGCCTGCAGCTTAATCCTGGGATTTCTTACCCAGCCTGCAGCCACAGGAGGAACATTATTCCCTTTGTCTGCGCCGCAGCCATGTTTTGAAACCTGTTGCCATGTCTCCCCCCTCGGCCTCTCGCGTCTCTTCATCCCTGGCTCCACGGTCCACGTGCTCGAGGTCTCTTACCTGAGTCTTGTTTCACCTTCCTCGTGAGCCGTGTCCTCGTGGGGCTGGCCTTGGGGTGGCCTTGCTGCCATCGGAGGGGGGAGAAGGACGGTTCCTGCGTCGTATCGGGCTCCCTGGTCCTGACCCGTGTCCGGCTGGTGGTTCATTGTGACCCTCTGATCCTGGTGCCCTTCCTCAGCTCCTCGATCCCTGGGGGATTGCTCTGTCCCTGCCAGGCTGCGTCCCGTGGGCTCCCACGTCTCTCTCAGGGCACTGGGATCTTTCTGAACGTTCTTCTGTCCTGGCTGGAGATCAAAAGATAATACATGAACAAACAAAGCAGAAAAGGTCACGAAACGTCGTGGTTTGCCAGAG